AAAACCAATCAACAACAAATATATCGTCGCAATACCTACTGAAGAACCATTGAAAATTCAGCAGCAGTGTGGTGATGAAAAAGAAAATAAATTTATCAGCGATCCAAGCCTGATAGAAATCGAACCGAACTGTGAAGTAAATGTATCAAGCTATCAATTCATCAATAAAGAAGAAATAATTCAAGGAATGCCCTTTACCTTACCGAAAATCTACGTTGGACCAGAAAACTCAAAAGAAGATCAACCTATCGATATTAAGTCAATAAATATCCATGAAATATCTGAACTTCAGGAAAAAGTTAAATTACTTCAACCTTTTAATGAAGTGATACACCCTGTAGGATGGAGTTTCGCTAGCATTGCCATTACAATTCTGGTCATCGCAATGATTTGTTGGATTACATGGTCTATCTACAAAAAGAAGATAGAAAAAAAGAAGCAACCCCGAGAGGAACATCCTGAAAATGATTCGCCACCCCTCACATTTTCCATTTAAGAAGGGAGGAGTTATGTGAGAGGAAATAGCATGGTTTTCCCACGAAGACGCGAGCGAAACCGAACTTATAAATATAACCAAGCGCATTAAAATTGTCATTCTGTTCTTAACCATTGTATTCATTGTATCTGTTAAACATACTTTATGAAAAATAAAATTTTTTAAAAAAGTATTTTCGTTGTCGAAATCCATAATTTTTTCAAATTAACATTTTTTTTAGAAAGTATGCGATAATTGTTTTGAATAGTTTATATAAACAGTTATTATTTACATCAACAACGCACCTTTTTAACAGCACTTAAGGGATAAGGGTCATTACTACGGCTTTTTCCCGTTAAAAATATTCTATTTTTTACAGCTATTAAGCTATCTTGTACACTTCGCACTAAAAGAGGTTCTAAAAAGAACAATGTTTGACTATAAGGTATGCTAGAAAATGTTAAGTTTAAAATATTACAACACAATTCACTTAAACCAAAAACTCGTAGTACAAAACTAAAATGTCAAAACGAATGACAATGTCAGGAAATAAATAAATAAATGAAATTTAAATTCCAGTTAGTCAGCCTGGCGCCGAATATGTCAATGGTTGGCAACAATGAATTCAAAAATCCCCTCAATTACGTAACTAAAAGTTTAATTGATATCAAATATAAGTATTTAATGTTAACACTAGCGATTTTTTTAAATTTGTATTGTATTTATAGAAAGTGTTACTGGTCTAACAAACTGGCACCAGTCCTACTGATTCTTACCTTAATGACGTTCTGAGTCCAAATATAGCACCCACTTTCTTCTACCACCTACCATTTTCGGGGGAGTCTAAACATTTTCTCAATTAATTCCAAATTTTAAAAAAATTTTCGCAAAAGAAACCTCATTAACGTAGTTCTGGGGTCGAAATATACCACCCTTAAAAATATTTGCACTTATTTAACCCATATTATTGTCGATATTTTTTTTACTATTTTGATCCACTTCTTTTTAGACTGCGCCAAAAACTTTCGAGTTTTTTTACTTGGTAATTTACAACGTCGCCATTTCGAACCTTCTCTTCGTACCTTGTTGGTTTGCATCAGAAATGGCAAGAAAAGTAAGATAGTATTATCTCATAAAAAAAATTGGAAATGTTAAATATAACTTTTAAATTGTTTTTGAAGAGTGAGAATGTACCAATCGCCGCCTACAGTTGTAACTGGATGACCACTACGAACAGTTTCAAAAAGGAATTGATAGTTTTTATGTGTCGTGCTCAGAAGCCTCTCAAATTGTATGCCATGGATTACTTTGAAATATCAGTAGGAACATTTATCACTGTAACTATATAACATTAATATATTTTGATTTAGTATAAATATATATTTTTTATTTTTCAGATTATTCGTTCTTCACTGTCTTATTATGCTGTTCTGAATAATTTGAATAGTAAAAAATGATTTATCTCAAAATATCGTGACAAAAAAAGGAACTTTAGAAATGCACATTTCACAATAATAACAATACATTCACAATTTAACCGCACCAGAACTAAATTATATTATATGCAGCGTTCAACAATGATTGAAATAGTTTTATTATACTGATTTTGCTCAATTTTTTAGCAATAAATTTAAGAAATTCAAATATTTATCGGAGATTATCACGAGCGATAATATGATTAATTTTTTGACAGTATTTAAATTTGTTTTCTACTACTGACTAAACAAAACGATATAAAAAGTAAATGGATTTACAGCACTTTCAGATGGAGCGGACCGTCCGCGACTTCGAGCAAGTACCATGAGTTTGAACAATTTCACATGGGTCGTGAATGAGTTCAGGATCCGGATGAGTTCGTCGACGGCTACCTAACCTAACCTAGTATAGTTTATAGTTCCACATGTATCGGTCGTTAAATTAAGTTTTTCATAAAAATCGTAAACACTGCTTAAAAATAAGGGAATGCTTTTCCTGTGAGAAATATGACTAACTTTCTGTTAGGATTAAAATCCCACCGCTGCCACCAAATTGTAAGTAACAAAACTTTGAAAATTTTGTTTGCTATTATGATAGTGTGTTTGGTGGCAGCGGCGGGATTTTAAGCTTTTGTGTAAAATATTCCATTACAGAAATTCTACATATTTTATAAATTTAAAAGACAAAATGTACCTTTAAATGGGCTTATCACATATCTCTGTTCCTTGTTACTTCCTGGTGAACAATATTTTGAAATCATTCAACTATATACACGTTTCTCATATTTAATAAATAATTAAACGGTGCTTAAAATTTAGATTCTATATTGATTAAAAATTACTTCGTCGATTACGATTAAATTCTAACCTTATTTTGAACGCCTGATTAAAAAAAGCCGTGTTTATGTAAGTATTAATTTTCTAGCTTGAACGCTGTAGTTGTTGGGAGGAAGATGATTATATCATGATAAAGAAACAGAAAATACTGTAAACATACGATTGTACAGGGTGGGTCAAATTGGACGCTTTTAAAGGGAAACACATTTTTCTATAGGAGATAGACGAAAACTAATATGGGTGTCTGGAGTTCAATTTTCATGAAAAACAGGATGGTATAAACCGCACATCAATATCTGTTACCGTTTCGGAGTTAAGGGGTGTTTCTCAAAAATGTGCCATTTTAGCAAATCGCTGTAACTTTTTTGCTATAGAAAATTTTGTATTTCTATAAAAACATTTTCAAAGTACCTTTTTACGTAGAATTTAATGGTTTAAGTATATTTTTTTTTAAATTAATATTTTAAGAGTTATCAACAGAAAAAATGATTTTTTTATTTGGGACACCCTGTATCTTTTTAATTAACTGAAAAGATATTAAAATTACTTTTCTAAAAATATAGCACAGTTCATATTTTGTTACAATCCCCTTCGAAATACAGAATTTTTAAAAGTTCGCTACTTTCAACTAGTAGGTTATCATATTTTTCCAGCAAGACGAGGCACCGCCTCAGAACGCTGAAGTTATCAGCAAATTGTTGCAGCCAATTTTAAAAATAATTGAATAGCTAAGATCCTAGCCGTTGGCCGTCGAGATCGCCGGACTTAGTGCCTATGGATCTAATCCTATGGATATATACATATATATATATATATTTGCGGAAGAATAAAGGTTCTTATTTTAAAATTGACAGTATAATCTAGACAAGAATTAGAAATACTTAGCAGTTATGAGAGGGTATCTTTCACCCCCACTGAGTTAAAGAATTCCTCGAGAAATGTTCAAAAACCGTCTGTCCATAACAGAAGACGGTCGATATGTCGAACACCTGTAGCAAAATCTCATGTCTTGGTTTGCTATTTATTTTTATTGTTATTAGATATAGTTTAAATTTGTTGATGCTTGTTAAATATAGTTTATATTGTTATAAAATTCTGCATCTCTCATAGCAAATATTATTTTCGTTTTAATTGATGCTCACAGATAGATTTTTTTGCATTACAGCCGGCGCCGTTCAAAGCCTACTTATTTAAAGTGAGCGAATTTTTATAAACTCTATATCGCGAAGAGTAATCGAGCAAAATATCAAATGTGCTATTTTTATATTTTTTTAAATTCCCGTTCCAAAAAACAGCTCCGGTTCCGGAAACCGTACTGAGTACCAACAACTAATCTTAAAATCCTCTAACACATTATTCGCAATTATTTTAATTATTCTCAATCACTCCCTGTATGATATTATATTTGCCACTTTTAAAATTAGTAATAAAAACACAATTAGTCAAAGCGTAAAGTCTTGTTTTAATATTTAATGAATAGAAATTTGTTATTCCAGATTTTCCGTAATATTTTCCTTAATTACTATAATAGGATCTATTACCTTATATTTCCATATCTTTTTCATTATTAATCAGAAATTCTCACGTAAAATTCTACAGGATGCCCCACATTTCCGAAAAAAGCTTTGTAATTATTTGGTTTTCTTCTGAAGTATACCTTCAGTTTAAGCGGATCAATAAACACAGGTGTAATAATGCAGTAAAAATCAGTTCAAAATTTGGATAAACTTATGAGAATAAAAAATGAATCTGCTGCTTTAAAATTTTATTGATGTTTTCACCCTGTATATTAAGAGTTTCTTGTGTCTCGCTTTGTGTTTTCGGATAATTGTTTCCTTTATTATTTCAAAAAAGGATTTAAGATATAAAAGAGTGTTTCAGAGTGAACTACTGTCACTTCAGCCCAAAAAATGTCGTTAAAAATGTCGTTTACATACTTTGATTACTTTAAGCGGGACTTTTTTTGTTTAAAATATTGTGGCGCATGGATATATACCGGAACACCATTCTCCATGTTCTACAAAATCCACCATTTCATAGTAAACATACTTTTAATCGGTCCGTTCAATTTCCTAGTCCTAGTATTTTGGGTTTTAAACACTGAAAACATCAGGACACTCACCGCTATAGGTTACATCGTTTTTGTATGCTTGATGGGACAAATAAAATCTTATTATTTCTACGTAAACCATCAAAAAGTCTACGAACTTATCATGGAGTTTGATCACGAATATTTTAAACCTCAAAATGACGAAGAAAAATTAATTGTAAAGAAAGTTTTCGAATCTTTCGGAAAATTCAAAACTGCCCTGGTTATACTGAGTGGTATTTCGAGTTTTTGCTCGATAACTGTGCCTTTGTTTTATAAAACTAACCAAGGTTTACCTGTACAGTCGTGGTACCCATTTAACATTGAGGTGTCTCCGCAATATGAGCTGGCTTATGTCCATCAAGGACTAGCGATGTTTTTCATTTCCGGATTGAATATATTCACTGATACTCTGGTTGCTGGTGTATGTACTTTTGTAGGTCTGCAATGTGATCTGTTATGTCAAAGAGCTAGGAATCTTGCAGGAGATGAATTGAAGTTTGTAGAGTGTGTCAAACACCACTATACTATTTTGAGGTAAGTAACTTTGTAAAATCCAAATGTCGATTAAAATAATTTTGCTGTTAGTTTTCATCAATCACAGTTTTATTTTCATCAGAATTATACTAAATAATACCTTGGTAAATATTTTGAGATATACAGGATGGTCCGAACTGTATTCCGGAAACGTCTGCAGCATATTCTACAGAAAAAAATAAGTAAAAAAGTTCGTATAAATTTATGTCCTAAAATGCTTAATTTCGGAGATACAGGGTGTAGGAATTTCATTTTTATTTCGATTTTTTTCTAAATAATTTCTGAATTAACGTCAATATTTGGATGAAAACTGGTGTCTGGGAGTTTTTTGACAGGAAAAATTTAATTTTGATTTCAATATGACTCCTATTTGTAGGGGGCGCATACATGTGTTTTAACTATTTTGAAGAGTAATAACTTTTCGTCCATACCTGTATAAAACTACTGAGTGAAAAAATATACATTTTCGTGACTTTTTACATAAAAAATGTCTCTTGGGAAAAATCGCTACGAGCAACCGTTCTCAAGATATTTCGAATGGAACTAGTCAATGACAAAAAATAAACACTTTGAGTAGATAGTTATTTGACTGAAATAATAAATTTGGGAAATTTTTATTTTTTTTAAATTAATCATAAATTTTTCTGCAAAAAAAAAATGATGATATAACAGTTTTTTTCACCAGTTTATAGAGTGAGTCTTAAGTAAGTGCAATAATTTTTAGGGGTATAGTATATTTCGATCCCAGAAACACGATAATGAGTTTTTTTCGCGAAAAAAAAAATTTAAAAAATTTGGAATTGTTTTTAGTTAAAAAATATAATTTCTTGATAATATGACAACATAGGTAACAGATTAAATTTAGAAGAAAGAAAACCAAAAAAAGATCCAGTGATAAGTGTACATTCAGGCTGAGAGCTTCGAGCGTAGCGTCGAGTCGCGTTTGCGTGTCGAAATGGAATAAATTCACTTAACTTAAATCAGACCGTTCAGGCAGACAGCGTTGCGTTTGGCGTTGCGCTAGCGTCCGCTGAGCGCCGGGGGTCAAGTTCAATGGGGCGGACGCGACGCGACGCTCGACGCTCTCAGCCTGAATGTAACTTTGTGATAAGTAAAATTTAAGAAAAAAATCATTTTATTTTGAAAATTTTCAAAATAAAATAACTCGGTTATTTTGGGCTTATTGGAAAAAAGGTAAAAATAAAATATGCTTCTTTTATCGAGATCTACCAGCCCTGAAAATAGTTGCACTTATTTAAGACTCACCCTATATATCCTCTATTTATTGTCAAAGATAATAAAACTCTAGGTATGTTATTTTTGATTAAATTTACTTGCGGCAAAAAAACATATTTTTAGTAGTATTATTAAGTATTATGTTTAGTTTTCTAGAAACAGTAAATATGGTTTTTGGTAGAGTGTACTTTGCCCAAATCTTTGCAAGTACCTGTGCAATATGTATGGGGCTCTTTCTTCTTACTTTGGTAAACATTTCTTCAATAAAACACTACCAACTTAAGCTCTTCAAAACCTTTTTTTCCAGGCTGACCCCAGTTCCTTTCAATTCTTCTTTTTGATAGTGTATCAACTCTGTATTGGAAACTTGTTGCTAGTACCTTGTTGGTTCGCGTCAGAAATGACAGTTAAGGCAAGACTTTTACATAACTATTTATTTTTTTTAATATTAACGTTTTTAGAGTCAAAATATACCTAAGGCTGCTTACGAATGTGATTGGGTCAATTCATCAAAAATATTTAAAAAGAAATTACTGTTTTTCATACACAGAAGTCAGAAACCTATCAAGTTGTATGCTTTGGATTATTTTGAGATAACAGTTGAAACATTTGGCAAGGTAAATAACTGTCATCAAGAAACTGTAATTAACTCATTTTTTTCATACGTATTATTTGTATTTTCCTCTAATTTGCCTTTTGATTTCTTCAGATTGTGAGGACTTCTCTTTCATATTTTGCTGTTCTACGAAACTTGACTGAAGAAGAAACAACATAAAGAAAGGTTAACTGTTATTTTACCTTTGTTCACTTTACAAGATTTTTGAAATAAGCAACACCTAGTAGCTGCAATAACATGTATTTTTATTTAATTATATATTTATAAAAGATATGGTGCCCGGTGGCGTAGAGGTACAGCTCTCGTCTACCAATTCAAAAGTTTCGGGTTCGAATCCCACAGCCGGCATTTCATCAGCCGACTATTTTTAATAAAATAAAAATAATTTGGGTACCTAGGTCGACTCAGCCTTAAATGAGTACTTGGGATTCACAATCCTGAGGTAATAATAGGCGGTTGAAGCGTAATACAGATACCTTCCTTGTATACCGAACGGCTCTACTATGGCAAGCGGTACCTTGCTACTCCCAAGGCATTAAACACTATATACGGGAGCTATTATTATATTATATTTATAAAAGATATTTCATAGACATAACAAAAATGTTACACCTTAATAAATTATTATATTTGATAGTAAACTCTAGAAAAATAAAAAACATAATTTGAACTAACAAATCTTAATAGTTTAAGGCACTGTCCTTAAATTTCTTGTTTAATTAAATATTATCAATAATACCCTCATTGTTTATGTTTAAAACCAGTAAAACATTTTTTTCAATTATGAATTTCTCTTTGATTTCTTCAAATGTATATATAAAGAAAACAAAGATACTGTCAGAAAGTGATGAATAAATCAACGCGCCTTAAGAGATCTATTAAGTTTCTTCCTTTCTTGAGTTATAACTCTTCTTCTTCTTCGTACGTTAGGACCAAGTCCTGTGTTTTCTTCAATGGTTCCTTAAGAACAGTTGGGATGATGAAAACCAGCTTTCATACCATCTTATAGGTGGTCGTCCCGGCGGTCGAGGCGTGTTGGGTCTATTCTCCTTAGCTTTTTTCGCTAACCGGTCGTTTGACATCCTATCCACATGGTCTCTCCACTCTCTTCTCCTGTTTCTTGCCCATCTTACTACATCCTGTACTTCACATGTTTCCCTTATATCCTCACTTATTTTCCGGTCATATAAGGTATATCCTGTAATTGATCCTAGTGTTCGCATTTCTGTTGTTCTTAAGAGCCGTTTTGTTGTTGTGTTCTCTGCTCTAGTCTCTATCGCATATGTCATAACTGGTCTCACGCAAGCCTTATAAATTCACAACTTTGCTTCTAACGCTCATATATTTATTTCGCCAAATTATATCCCTTAAATATCCTGATATTAATGTGCCTTTGTTGATTGGGTTTTTACTTCCTCTTTGAGATTCCTAGTGCTTGTTATATTTGCCCCTAGATATTTACGATCCTGGTCATTGACAAAAACAGTACTGGGATAATTTTCAGGGTTTTTGGAACACCCTCAAAAAGAAAATTCCACTTCTCCCACTTCCAGTGGATGAGATACCAAGAATTTACAACTTTTAGAAATACCTCACTGTAGTATTGAGTAATAAAAAGGAGTGGAAGGGAGTAACGTTTAATAAGCATGTAAAAGACCTTACCATAACGTGGTATAATGATGCTTCCAAAACCAAAGTAGGGACAGGGATAGGAGTATTTGGGATTAAAACTAAATACTCCGAATCAATGGGCACTTACGCCAGCATCCTTCAGGCAGAAATCTCCACTATCGAAAGATGCGTACCATTTATCTTAGATAGGAACTATCGAAAACAGGAAATAACCATCTAATCCGACAGTCAAGCAGCACTAAACTAGATCAACTCAGTAACCATCAGTTCGAAGATGGTCAAAGAATGCCTAGAGAAGCTGAACAAGTTATGTAAAGAAAATAAAGTCCTCCTACTCTGGGTGCCCGCTCACCAAAGGATAAGGCAATGAACAAGCAAATGATCTAGCTAGAAAAGGAGCGAACACCCCACTAACTGGACCAGAAACGTTCTGTTTTCCAAGGGGCAACCCATTAAAAGCGGAACTGAAGAACCTGGAAAACTCCATCCGTAACCTGGAATGGGAGTCCTCCAACGTTCTAAAACACTCAAAAAAGTTCCTCAGAACTTACGACCGAGAAAAATCAAAAATTTTCCTTGATTTAAGTAAAAACAATCTTCGGATTGTCACGGGGTTTCTAACAGGACACTGTGTCCTCAACAAACGCCTCAGTAGGCTGAAGCTGAGAAACAACGGCGAATGCAGATTCTGTGTGGAAAATAGTGATGGGCAAAACTGTTATTTTTAGATAACAGTTGAAACTGTTATAGTTATTTATAAAAAACAGCTTAAAATAACAGTTTAAAAATAACAGGTTTCTTTATTTTATTGCTAAATATCTGAAAGAGTATGAGGCGGTCACCGCCAGGCGTTTCGGGTTCAAAACATTTCTAAATATCGATTGTTATCTAAAATATCTCTCTAAAAACGGTGGTTGTTTACAAATAAGCGCTGTTTACAAATTGCGATGTAAAAAAAGCCAAAATTCCGCCACTCGTCTATACCTATACATTCCGATCTACCTACACCCTGCCCCTCGATCCTCGTAGATCCTGAATTGCGTAGCAGTGTACAGGGTGCATCTCACTCGACGGGCGAGAAGCTCTTAGTTATGATTTTACCATTTGCGATCAAAAGAATTAGAATTATTATTAGAATTCGAGTTTCGAAAAATCCCTTCTTATCGAACCCCTACACCCTAAAGTCAATCCGTTTTCCAAAAATCAGCTTTTTACGCCAAGGGCTTTAAGCAGGATCGTGATTAATCAATGACTAGAACACCATGTATACATTTTTAAAAAATCTTCAAATATTATTCTGAAAATTTTTCAGAATAAATAAATACCAGCTTAAAAATAACAGGAATAATATATATATATATATA